ACAATTTTGTATATGATGTGGTCATAATTTTAAGCATATATCATAACAAATCCATGTACCTTATTTTGTAGGATGTTTGAGCCGGATAAATATCCCGGCCTTGATGATTATTACGAGGAGAAGCATCGTGCTGTGCTTGTGGAAAGAGGGGAGGTAATTATGTATATACATTGTCGATTCTCATATTGTGAGTATATTGTGAGTAGTTTAGAGAAGTATATAAATTGTGCGTGTGATTTTTGTAGGTTCCTCCAGTACTACGGTTGAGAGGCCACAACCCACGTGAGTCACTTGTGTATGACCGTCGCTACGAGCCTTATTTTAGAAGAATGGACCTTCTCCAGTTTGTGCTCAACTTTAAAGGCACACCACCATGGCTAAACTTGAAAGTGCTAGTATCGACTAGAGGGGGGGGGGTGAATAGGCGATTTTTATGAAAGTCTTCAAAACTTGAAAGTTTCGAAGACAAACAACAGAAACAACTTAATTGATATGCAGCGGAAGATAAACTAACCTAAACAAGCCATAGTCAAGTTTGTAACGATATGAAAGTACAGGACTAATAGCAGTTAGGCACTAAGGATCAAGATGGAAGATAGTATGAAGCCAATCAATAATAGTAGTCAAGCAATGAAGTCAAACATATGAACAGATAAGCAATGACTTCATGAAGAGAAACTTAAGTAAGGTTGGAAGGGATAGAACCAGTTGTTTGTTGAAGACACAGGATTTGTTGGACCAGTTCCAGTTGCTGTGACAACTGTACGTCTGGTTAGGGAGGCTGAGATTTAACTCAGAAGACCGTGCCTTCACCTTATTCCCCTTGAGCTAAGGACACCCAGTCCTCGCCCAATCACTCTGGTAAGTCTTCAAGGGAGACTTCCAAACCTTCACAGACTTCATTCACCGGCAATCCACAATGACTCTTGGATGCTCAGAACGCGACGCCTAACCGGCTGGAGGATTCACAGTCCTCAAGTGTAATAAGTCTTCAGGTCACACAGACAGAAAGACTTCAGTGATGCCTAACACTCTTTGGCTCTGGGTGTTTGGGCTTTGTCCTCGCAAGGATTTCCCTCTCTCAAATGCTTCGAGGTGGGTTGCTCTCAAACGACAAAAGCCGTGCACAAACTCTGAGCAGCCACCAATTTATGGTGTAGGGGGTGGGCTATTTATAGCCACTAGGCAACCCGACCTGATTTGTCCAAAATGACTCTGGGTCACTAAGGAACTGACACGTGTTCCAACGGTCAGATTTCAAACACACGCGACAACTTTACTTGGGCTACAAGCAAAGCTGACTCATCCAGCTCTGGATAAGATTTGCTCTCATTGTCTTCGCTCGAAGACATAGAATTTGGGTTGAGCATCACTTCAGTCACTCTGACTTAGTTCACTTGGACCCCACTTAACAGTACGGTGGTTCCTATGACTCAACAAAGAAGAAACAAAACAACGAAAACACACAGTCTTCGCGCTCCAAAGTCTTCACGCAATGTCTTCTCATGTCATAGTCTTCAATATGAATATCTTCTCATACCACCATTGTCTTCAATGTCTTCATACATTTTTAGGGGTCATCTCCGGTAGGTAAACCGAATCAATGAGGGACACTACCTGCGTTATCCTGCAATTCTCACAAACGCATTAGTCCCTCAACCAACTTTGTCGTCAATACTCCAAAACCAACTAGGGGTGGCACTAAATGCACTTACAGAACTCGACAGCCATTACCGCCCTTCCTGACCGTTGGAGGCCGGAGACGCACTCTGCAACATCACAATGCAACACACCATTGGAACAACAATACTAAAAACATCACATTAGATATCCATGTTCAAAACTAGAGTTAGGAACAACAAGACCAAATCAATCCAAATGGGCAAATCCAACCAATAAAAATTTGTGAGATGAAGGAGGTTACCTCAACGAACGAAAATGACACTAGATCCACGGACCAACCCAATCGATTTGCAAGGATTTGAGAGGGGCTAAGTGAGGGACACAAAGGGGGAAAGGGCAACGGGGGAGAAGAGAGTGAGGAGTGAGTGGTGGGTGCAAGCCCCACGGCCACCTAAAATATCTGCACCAGAAACGCCATTGGTGCTGGCTTTTCTAGAAACGCTAGCTGGCTAGGCGTTTCAATCCCGCTAGGTCAGCAAGCAACACCAACTCGGCCTGGCAGTGGGCCAGGGAAGAAACGCTAGCTTGGTCGGCGTTTCCATGTTCATCAGAAACGCCGCGGGCTCTGGCGTTGCTAAAAGGGTCAAAACGTGAAATACTTTCACATCGGGTTCAGTTTGCGACTAAAAACTCTGACAAGGTCAAAACAGTGATTTCGTCCCAGGAGTGTTGGGGAGTGCAGCAGTTGTTTATGGTGCAATTGTTCGAGAGACTTTAGACCTTTTTTTTGCGAGGAAGAGAGACTTTTCACCACTCTAGTTTATTTATTACTACCTATCTTTATCTTTATCTTTATCTTTATCTCTTTATCTTTATCTAATATTAAAGGGAGGACGTCCCTGTTTGGTTCCTCGTGCGGGAGTTTTCCCGGGCGTTTCCTATGCTAACCACTCGACCACATCGCTTCTTGTACTATTCCTTACTTTCTCCTTCTTTTCTTCTTACTTATCTGATTGTTTATTTCCTTTCTTTTCTCTTGTTTTTTTTTCATAAATCCGTGAACTTTTTTCAAGTCATTTAGTTTTGTTTTTCGAAACTGATAAAAAAACAAATTTGTGAACTTTTTCCGGAATTGATGAACTTTTAAAAATTTGATGAAATTTTTTCAAATTCAGTGAACTTTTTTCAATTCGATGAAAAAAGTTCATCAATGATTTTCAAATTGGATGAACTTTTTTCAATTCGACGAACTTCTTTTTCAAATTCGATGAACTTTTCTCAAATTCAATGAACTTTTTTCAAAATCGATGAACTTTTTTCAGTTTTGTGAAAAAAATTCAAAATTGATGAATTTGTTTCAATTTTTTCAGGAACGTTTTTCATTTCCTGTGAACTATTTTGTTTTTAAAAAAATGAACGTTTTTCAAATTCAATGAACTTTCCGTGAATAGGGGCAACGTTTTTTGCATGTCCACGAACTTTTTTCCAAAATCTGTGAAGTTTCGGTTTCTTTAAAATAAACGCATGTATGGGTAGGTAGTTTTTATAGCGTTCGAGCTGCATTCAACCACTAGTAACGACATTGCATAGCGGTAAGGCTAGCCACTGTAGATAGCGAAGGGTGCGAGTTCGATTCCTAGCGGGAGCATAATTTTTTGAATTCTATTCGAGGTTTAGCTTCTGACTGGGCTTCGAATGAGTAGCCCACTAAACTTCCCTGTAGGCGCCAGGGACCGTAACCGGCGCAGAAGGCGCCCGTTAGGAGCTCCCGTTTTCCCGTTCCCCAGATTCGTTTCGGTCAAAAAGCAAATCACAGGACGCACAAGCCGCAATGGGCCGGCCCATTGGCGTACGAACAGAAACAAAAAATACTGCAATGCTAGGAATCGAACATAGCAGCTCACACTAGAGCGTTCTGAATGCTACCACCAGACTAAAAAGACTTGGTGATTAATTGGCCACACGAAAATTTAAATTAAACTCACACTCGCGCCTGTTACTAAGAGAAAAAGTTTTTTTAAGTGAAAATATTTTAGAACGTGAAATTTTACAAAGTTTATAACATTTTTTTTAAAATCGAATATTTTTTCTAAAAAAGAACAATATTTTTATTTTATTTATTTGAACACACAAAAAAAATATTTAAAACTAGGAGGTACTGTTGTGATTATTTTTCAAATTTGCAAACATTTTAAAAAATGTTTTATTTAAATTTAAAAAGGAAAATATTTTTTGAAACATGATTTTTTTAATCTATACTTATTAGTAAGACTTGGGGAATTTTTGAAATGTGCCCACTTGATGCATTGTTTTAGACTAGGATATGAAAGAAATCTTTTTATCTGTTGCGTCTTCATGTAGGCGCCAGGGACCGTAACCGGCGCAGAAGGCGCCCGTTAGGAGCTCCCGTTTTCCCGTTCCCCAGATTCATTTTGGTCAAAAAGCAAATCACAGGACGCACAAGCCGCAATGGGCCGGCCCATTGGCGTACGAACAGAAACAAAAAATACTGC